ATGTGCAATACGCTGAAAAATTTAAATTAAAATACGTGTACCAGTTAGAAAATGTCTCTATGTGTATACTCAGTAGTACATTGTAATAGTATAGTGTTCAAACAATAGTAACTATTCAGGGTGGCTGCAAGCAAAAATTGTTCTCCCACAACTGATAGAGAGTATATTATGTAGCAGCACAGTGGCTAAATGGTTAGCACTTCCACCCGGCAGCACTAGGGTCGTTGGTTCAAATCCCAGCCACAGCAACACCTGCCTGGAGTTTGCATGTTCTGCCTGTGTGGGTTTCCTCCAGGTACTCCCATTTCCTCCCACACTCTAAAGACATGCTGGTAGGCGAATTGGTTCCTGTCTAAATTGGCCCTAGTATGTGAATGTAAGTTAGGGACCTTATATTATACACCCCTTGAGGGTTAGGGACTGATGTACAATATATATATGTAAAACACTGCATAAAATGACAGCACTATATAAGTGCCTAAAATTAATAAATATTATGCAAAAATACTGTATATTGCTGCACCTTCCCTATATAAACAAGCAAACCAATGAAATTCACCTCTACTGTGTTAAAAATATATATAAACCTTCTAAAATTCAAGAACAAATGAGTGGGACCCTACCTGTCCTCGCTGTAGGTTACATCCCGGTACCTTTCTACATATGTTTTGACATGTCCTAGAATTGAATTATTTTGGTCTGATGTTTTTGATCTAATTAATGTATGGCTTCAGTTGCCCATGTCCCTTCCTCTACCCACTAAGCAAAATGGTAGTGTGACAAGAACACCCCTACCTGGAAAAAGAAGGTTACTAGGTGATCCACGCGGAGTAATATGAATTCAAAAATATTCCAAACAATACTTTATTTGATCACATAGATCATAAGGAGGTTAAACATGAGCACGGTGTACATATGAAAAAAATAAAATCATGTTAAAAAGCACTAGGCGTCTTCAGTTTAGGGTCATCTTAGCAAATAGAGTACCATAAAGCAGAGTTATATGATGGTGATATAGTTATCCTGGGTTTCCATGGGTTTTCGTCTTGTATTCAAGTGAACCATGTATTCAGCAAATGTGTTCCCAATATATGTCAGGTATCTCCTGGTATGAAAAAGCTGGAACACAGAAATACATAGTATATATATAAAAGTATGAAAACCAAAAAACCAAAACACATCCAAAGTTCACCAGGCCTCCCTCTACAATGGTCAATGGATACTACTATTACCTTCTCAATAGTGAGATTAGCAGGCCAGCTTCTCAAATGTAGGGACTTCCTGGATAGCCACCCCAAGTGAAACAAAGTCCACAGTACCAAATGATTCTGAGGATATATATAGAAAAATAGTGATACATATAAAAATCATGGGCATCAGGTCACCCTGAAAACAAGACACACATAGAGTGGGTATATTACCATAAATGAAGATCAAGAAGACTTCTGTCGACTTGAAATAGGATCAGGTCCTTGATGCTTTTCCAAGATGCATGTGGGGTGGGGAGCCAGGTAGTCACAATATATAGATTCCAAACACATATACTGTGTATATAGCATATAACAGGCTATGCAGGCCTGAATTTTTATACCCAATAAAGGGTTTCCAAAAATTACTCAAAATGAGAAGGTTATTGCTCCATATACTTTGTATATAGCTTATAACAGGCTATACAGGCCTGAATTTTTTATACCCAATAAAGGGTTTCCAAAAATTACTCAAAATGAGAGGGTTATTGCGGTTTCATGAGGATATGGCTATGTCACAGCACAACACCTAGATAGGATAGCGTATATATATATATATGTAGATCGTCCTCAAAAGAGGATTTACAAAAAATTCCCCGAGTATACAGGGTAAATTAGGCCCATATAGCATGCCATTTTTAACACCATAAATGCTCTATAGATCTCAACAGCCGTAAGCTGAATTAACTTGCCACCGGTGGAAGATAAATTTCCCTGAAAGATTGCCGTTTGCGAACCGCTGCAATAGTAGCCTTATGGTAGTTTTCATAGGGTCAAGGGCCTTCCTAGCAGGGAGCTGTGACGAACTGACGAAGTCTGCGGTGATTGGCGGACGAAACGCGTCAACGTATTGACGTCACTACGCTCGGCGTCTTCACTGGGTGCGGCGCCCACGAGGCGGGAAGGAACGGCGGTGTCACAGCTCCCTGCTAGTAAGGCCCTTGACCCTCTGAAAACTACCATAAGGCTACTATTGCAGCGGTTCGCAAACGGCAATCTTTCAGGGAAATTTATCTTCCACCGGTGGCAAGTTAATTCAGCTTCCGGCTGTTGAGATCTATAGAGCATTTATGGTGTTAAAAGGGCATGCTATATGGGCCTAATTTACCCTGTATACTCGGGGAATTTTTTGTAAATCCTCTTTTGAGGACGATCTACATATATATATATATACGCTATCCTATCTAGGTGTTGTGCTGTGACATAGCCATATCCTCATGAAACCGCAATAACCTTCTCATTTTGAGTAATTTTTGGAAACCCTTTATTGGGTATAAAAATTCAGGCCCTGTATAGCCTGTTATAAGCTATATACACAGTATATGGAGCAATAACCTTCTCATTTTGAGTAATTTTTGGAAACCCTTTATTGGGTATAAAAATTCAGGCCTGCATAGCCTGTTATATGCTATATACACAGTATATGTGTTTGGAATCTATATATTGTGACTACCTGGCTCCCCACCCCCACATGCATCTTGGAAAAGCATCAAGGACCTGATCCTATTTCAAGTCGACAGAAGTCTTCTTGATCTTCATTTATGGTAATATACCCACTCTATGTGTGTCTTGTTTTCAGGGTGACCTGATGCCCATGATTTTTATATGTATCACTATTTTTCTATATATATCCTCAGAATCATTTGGTACTGTGGACTTTGTTTCACTTGGGGTGGCTATCCAGGAAGTCCCTACATTTGAGAAGCTGGCCTGCTAATCTCACTATTGAGAAGGTAATAGTAGTATCCATTAGTATCCATTGACCATTGTAGAGGGAGGCCTGGTGAACTTTGGATGTGTTTTGGTTTTTTGGTTTTCATACTTTTTATATATATACTATGTATTTCTGTGTTCCAGCTTTTTCATACCAGGAGATACCTGACATATATTGGGAACACATTTGCTGAATACATGGTTCACTTGAATACAAGACGAAAACCCATGGAAACCCAGGATAACTATATCACCATCATATAACTCTGCTTTATGGTACTCTATTTGCTAAGATGACCCTAAACTGAAGACGCCTAGTGCTTTTTAACATGATTTTATTTTTTTCATATGTACACCGTGCTCATGTTTAACCTCCTTATGATCTATGTGATCAAATAAAGTATTGTTTGGAATATTTTTGAATTCATATTACTCCGCATGGATCACCTAGTAACCTTCTTTTTCCAGGTAGGGGTGTTCTTGTTACACTACCATTTTGCTTAGTATGTACCTTTTGGGTTTATGGATCCACACTTATACAAGTGAGTCGGAGATAAGTTAATGACACCAGCCATACGTGTCATTCTGGGTGGCTTGTTTGTGTTTTATTGTTGTGATACCCTTCCTCTACCCACCTTTTCATTGCTTTTACTGGTTGTCCTTCCTCTGCCCACCTCTCCATTACTCTTAGGGGCTGTCCATAGAAATATGATAAAGTATGGCTCCCCTGGACGTCTCAATAAGGGATTGTGGTGACCCATTATTCTCTACTAGGATTCTGTAGTGGGGATTTATGGTAGCATCACCCTTCTTTTCCTCCCTTTTCCCTCTTTCTTGTTCTCTTTTCTTCTCTCTCCCCCTCCCCGCTTTTTCCTTCTTTCCGTCCCCCCCCCCCCTTTTTTTTCCTTTTCTATTTCCCAGGATATCTGGTTTCTGCTCATCTCGCTCCTGGGTTTTCCTCACACTGCTTCTATTGCGGCAATATTGGACTGATTTCCATGATTGTGTGCAGCTTGTTTTGCTCTTCCCTTCCTCTTGTCCTACATTGGATGTTGTACAATATATTGTTCCTGATCATTTGTTCTGTACCATACCTTTCATGTCAAATCTTGTATTCTGTATCTGATATATTGTTTTATACTTCCTTTTACAATAAAACACCCTATTTTTGTAAAAAACTATTCAAGAAAATAATGTTCATCTCAAAATAATAATACATCTCTTTAGATATTGACAGTTTTTTTGCAGACTGATGCCATGCACCTCTCTCCACTGTGTCACGCTTCTTGTGCTTCACAAGATAAATATGTAGTGTTTCTCACCACCATTCACCACTGTGTTCACCTCAAATAATGGACCTGTCAATTTCCAGGTGCTGGTGCTGGGGGGAACTGACTAACTGCCACTGACATTAATACAGTGATCAGTGATAATACTATATGCTGTCACTTTACTAATGACACTGGCTGGGAAGGGGTTAACATCTAGGGTGATCAAGGGGTTAAAGTGCCTAACTATGTGTAATGTATGTGCTGTCTTTAATTCTAGATCTCTAAGTTTCTCATGCCTGCTTTGCAGGGATAAAAAAACAGAGAAGTTGTTCTCTCTGTGCAAAGCTCTGTGCTGATTGTCAACACAGAGCTCTGGGCTGTGATTGTACACAGCCGATCAGCAGGTCCTGGAAGGGGGGCATGGGTATGTCACTTTGACTACTGTACAGCATCTGCCCGTCTGCAATGCAGGCGGGCAGAAAGTGGTTAAAGTGTTGCCAAGGTGGGTGGGAAGGGGGTTAATCAACTTTTCATTCATAAGCCTGATGTGTTTCACACACTGAAAGCTGTTGCAAGATCACATATTTTCTATTCTATAAAGCAAAACACATTAAATATGCTATAAAAATAAAGAGAAACACATAAAATATAAAACAAAATCCATAAATGCTGGCAGCAGAGAAGAATGAACTGTAAGGCAGAGCTGCACTGATAACAGGCACTCTCCCTGAACATTAAAAGCATTTCCCAGTTATGTATGTTCTCTCACCTTCACTTTTTCATAATAGCTCCCAGTGGACATCCACTCCATGTTGAAGAACAGAGGGTCTTTCTTTGACACCATAGTGATGATGGTGTCTACTATCGGGTTCACTTTCGTTGCAGCACTAGAGATGTCATCCATTTTCAGTTTCAGCCTCTCTACCACAGCTTTCAGTCCCTTGCCATTGTGGACAGACAATGGCTTGGTCTTGTCCTTAGGCTTAGCTCGGGCTGGTTTGCTCCCCCCAGAGTCTGTTTTCTGCTCTGCTCTCTCTTTTTTAGGGCTGTTTTGTCCCTTAACTCTTCCAGCAACTTCGGTCTTTCCTCTGTCCAGCTCATTACTGCACTTAGCGGCTGCCCTTCCACTGGCCGGCTCTCCATTACTCCTAGCAGCTGCCCTTCCTCTACCCACCTTTTCATTGCTTTTACTGGTTGTCCTTCCTCTGCCCACCTCTCCATTGCTCTTAGGGACTGCCCTTCCTCTGCCTGGCTCTCCATTGCTCTTGGGGGCTGCCCTTCCCCTGCCTGGCTCTTCATTGCTCTTGGTGGCTGCCCTTCCCCTGCCTGGCTCTTCATTGCTCTTGGGGGCTGCCCTACCCCTACCTGGCTCTTCATTGTTCTTAGGAGCTGCCCTTCCTCTGCCCCTGGGCTGTTTGGGATGGGTGTCAGGCTCCTTGCCCCTTCCACGGCCTCCCATGTCTGTCACCTGCCTGGCTCTGAAGTAATCTTTACTTCTCTTATTGCTGCTGAGCTGGAAGACTTGTCCCTTCCCCTTTCCTCCTTAATTATACAGATAAACGAAACTAACTCTGTCTCTGTTCCCGTAAGGGAGATTTCCTTATTTACCCATGTCACTGAGAGTGAAAGTGAAAGAAAAAACACTTTGCATTTTACAGAAGTGGTTGTGAAGTGAATTTTTAATAACATTCAATTACAATATAACTTGTGATGCAAATGTATATGCTATTTTATTCCCCGCAAAAGTTACCCTTTAACCCTTGCGCTGCCAGGGCCCTGCACACTCCATTTTAAACTCAGGTGACCAGGCCATTTTTGAAATTTTTCCATTGCTTTTTTATTTTACCCTTACAACTTTCAGAGTTTGCAAGAGGCCCCCCCCCCCCCCCCAAAAAAAAAATACATTAATACATTTTCTGAAACATAGGACCAGTAGAATAAAAGGAAGGTGCTACTGATTTTTGAGGCCCTGAGATATTTGCACAAATGTTTATCAAAACAATATCTTTGCTAAAAATACACTAACATCACTATTAGTGGGTACATACATGGCAAAACTGCCAAAATTACTGCTGAATTCCTACTAGATATAAAAGTTAAAACTGTATTGAGTTAATAAACAAATATGTGTACATTTACAATTGTGCATTTTTGTGAAATGGAGAAAGCTGCAAGTGCACAAATCTGTAAATAAAAACAATTTACTATAAAAATTTGGAGGTTACCATTTTTCACTTACAACTTTCAGAATTTGTAAAAGACCGCCCCCCGAAACCATATATTTTCTGAAAGCACCTATAGATCTATAGAATACAACGTGCTACTGATTTTTTAGGCCCCGTGATATTTGCGCAAATGTTTATCAAATTTGTATTTTCACTAAACATACACTAAAATCATTATTAGTGCACACAAACACAACATAACTTCCAAAATTCCTGTTTAATTGCTACTAAGGCTTTGTCCACATGGGACATAGTGAATTGTATGCCTGTGGAGGGCCGTGTTTACAGTGGGAAAAATAATTATTTGATCCCCTGCAGATTTTGTAAGTTTGCCCACTTACAAAGAAATTAAGGGTCTATAATTTTTTTATCATAGGTGTATTTTAAATGGTAGAGACAGAATATAAACCAAAAATCCAGAAAAAAACACAATACAAATGTTATAAACTGAGTTGCAGTTCAGTGAGTAAAATAAGTTTTTGATCCCCTACCAACCAACAATAATTCTGGGTCCCACAGACTAGCTATGTGCTCATGTGGTACACAGATTATCCTGTCAATTTAAGAAGGTGCTCCTAACGACAACTCGTTATGTGTATTAACCACTTGCCTACTGGGCACTTTCACCACCTTCCTGCCCAGGCCAATTTCAAGCTTTCAGCACTGTCGCACTTTAAATGACAATTGCGCAGTCATAACACTGTACCCATATGACATTTTTATAACATTTTTGAGATAGATAGAGCTTTCTTTTGGTGGTATTTAATCACCTCTGGGGTTTTATTTTTTGGTAAACAAACCAAAAACAACTGAAAATTTTGAAAAAAGTTTTTTCTTAGTTTCTGTTTATATAATTTTGTAAATGAGTAATTTTTCTCCTTCGCTGATGTGCGCTAATCAGGCTGCAGTGATGGGCACTGATAGCCTGCACTGCTGGGCACTGATAGGTGGCATTGATGAGGAGGCACTGGTAGGTGTCATTGATGGGTATTGACAGGCATCACTGGTGGGCATTGACAGACATCACTAATGGGCACTGAAAGGCAATACTCATATATGGCACTGATAGGCGGCACTGACTGGCACTGTTAAGTGGCACTGACTGGAACTATTAGTCAGCACTGACTGGCACTGATAGATGGCACTAACTAGCACTGATAGGTGGCACTGATAGGCGGCATTGATTGGCAGTACTCATAGGCAGCACTGACTTGCACTGATAGGTGGCACGGACTGGTACTGATAGTTGGCACTGAAAGGCAGCTCGGATGGGCACTGATGGGCACTGACAGGTGGCATTAATGGGCACTGACATGTGGCACTGATGGAGGTACACTGATCATCAGGGCACTAATCATCAGTGCCCTGATGATCAGTGTAGATGTCCCCTCTGAGGAATGCCGATAACCGGCATTCCTCAGAGGCATTTCCTTATTTACATGCGATCAGCTGTGATTGGATACAGCTGATCACATGACAAAGCCGACGTCATCGGCTCTTTCTGCTGATCGGTGATCCGCTGTGTCTTCAGCCAGAACACTGAAGATGGGTCGTGGATGGGTCTTCCAATGACTTAAAACATACCGCTTGAGTGACTCAAGAAGAAGCACAGTAACCCTTGACGCCGACGTCACAAATATGCGGCCTCACGGAACTTGGCTTTTTTCCCATGGGGCCACATATTTGCATACCTGTCTTTGTGCTGGGAGCGCGCTGCACTGTGCGCTCCCAGCACAAAGACCATGGTGTCACTGAGAGCCCCGGGTCCCGTTCTAACGATCGATCCGATTCCGGGTCACATGATCGCTGTGATAGCCTCTGATTGGCTATCACAGTGATCAGTCACTGTGCAGCCCGGCCCCCTTGTTTTTTTTCTCTCTCTATGAATGGAGAAGAGAGATACATTGTATCTCTCTAACTCCTGGCATAGAGAGAAAAAAAAGTTTGTTAAAAAAAAAAAAAAAAAAGATAAATAAATAATTAAAAAAAAAAAAAAAAAAGAAAAAGAAAAAATACCTAGATCAAGGTTTGATCTAGTTCAGTGCCAGGGTTAGTGTTTGGGTCAAGGTCAGGGTCAAGGTCAAAAGGTCAGGGTCAAAGCTCAAGATTTTTTTTAAAAAATTGGTATCAGTGTCAGTTAGTGTCAGTGTGTTTTAGGTAAAAAAAAAAAAAAGACAAAAACAAAATGCGCACTATTGCTTCATGGTAGTAACAAGAAACACACAGCTAAATAAAAAAAAAGATTTTTTTTTTACTATTTTGGGCCAGTTTTCCTTTGATAATAAAAAAAAAAAATCAGGAGATATCCATTACCATTTACCACCAAATGAAAGCCCAATTTGTCCTGAAACGCGGTATAGTTCAATTGGATGTACAAAGTAGTTGTGATGATATGTACGGTTTCACTAATGTTGCAAAATTGCTTAGGCATTTAGATTTGTTTTGCCCTTAGGCATGAAGGGGTTAAGGTCATGGAGTGGCCTAGTCAGTCTCCAGATCTTAATCCTATAGAAAATTTATGGAGGGAGCTAAAACTTCGAGTTGCCAAGCGACAGCCAAGAAACCTTAAAGATTTAGAGAAGATCTGTAAAGAAGACTGGACCAAAATCCCTCCTGAGAAGTGTGCAAACCTGGTAACCAACTACAAGAAACGTCTTAACTCTTTGCTTGCCAACAAGGGTTTCTTCACCAAGTACTAAGGCATGTTTTGCTTGGGGATCAAATACTTATTTTACTCAATGAACTGCAACTCAATTTATAACATTTGTATCATGTGTTTTTTTTTCTTTTTTTTTTTAGTTGATATAATGTCTCTATCATTTAAAATACATCTATGATATAAATTATAGACCCTTCATTTCTTTGTAAGTGGGCAAACTTACAAAATCTTCAGGGGATCAAATAATTATTTTTCCCACTGCACCTGTGTTTTCCTTGCATCCCCATGCAGACAGTCCTATTCATGTCAATTGGGATGCAATGACTGCACGGGAACAGCAGCTGCTCCTAATCTGACATCAGTGTGGCTGTAGGTGCACGACCCCAAATGCAGACAGTGGTGTGAGCTTAGTGACTCAGGTACTGCAGGGCAGCCACAGAGCCTTTAAAAATATTTACATACCTCCCCGTCACCCAACTAGCAATGCCCCTTACTTCACCGATTCCTTAGCATCCATCCCGCTATGCTGCTGGTGGGCATTCCATCCTCCCCTTCCCAGCTGCAGCTGCTGCTTGGTGAGAAAGAGAAGCTGTCAGGATGGAAAGCATTGGGGAGGGGGGGAGGGGTTGCTAAACATGTATTTCCCAGCCCCCTTCCTTTCCTTGAATGGAGACAGTGAGCAATCAGTACTGATCTCTCCTGTGTTCATTCATCACTGAAGCATAGTAAACAGTGTTTGCTATGCTTCAGTTTGTGAATGAATAGGAGTCTCTATACAGAATCCTATTCATTTGTTTACAATGCAGCTAATTCTGCAGAGAAAGGGACTGTCTTTAGTCCATTTCATTGTCTCATAAGAGACATCAAAGGTCTGTTTTGAGCTCTGATATCTCACCAAAGACCCCCCCCCCCCACAAAAGTACAAAATATTAAAAAAGAAAATTGTAAAAAAATAAAAAATAAATAAATTTAAATAACAAAAAACATAGTAAGGCCTAGTTCACACAGGGCATACTACAGCATGTGCCACATATGCCCCTGAAAGGCTGTGTTTACAGGTGTTCCATGCATCCCTGTGCAGGCAGTCCCATTGATCTCATTTGGGATGTAGCAATTGCCTGATTCTTCATTGCTCTTAGGGGCTGCCCTTCCTCTGCTCCTGGGCTGTTTTGGGGCGGGTGTCAGGCTCCTTTCCTGGTCTCCCATGTCTGTCCCCTGCCAGGCTCTGAACTAATCTCTACTTCTCTTATTGCTGATTAGCTAGAAGACTCATCCCCTCCCCTCTCCTCCTTTATTATACAGATAAACAAAACTAACTCTGTCACTTGCTCCATTAGGGAGATTTCCCTATTTACCCATGTCACCGAGAGTGAAAATGAAACAAATTCCCAAAGTGTGGGTTGTCACCAAAACAGGAAAAGAGGGGAAATCTTCTAATGGGGACACTAGTTCTGGTGACAACCATGGATTCTTTCACTTCTGGAGGGGTTTCCTCCTACTTCCAATTGTGGTTATATAACAGGAAGTGAAAGGAATATGTATCATATTCCTATTGCACATGTCCCTGGAGGTGGCAGAAATAACAGATGCTGTAATGATTACCAGCTGAAAACTGGTAATATTATAAGTCCAAGTATACATACCACGACCTCTTGGGGCTATCACTAGCACACCACGAATCTTTAACTACTTCTTGCCCGCCCGCAGCAGTTATACTGCGAGCAAGCGCCACAGCCCTGCCAGACCTTGTACCTGTACGCTGGGGGGGCTCTTCCTGTTTTGCTGATTCTGTACACGGATCAGTGATCTAGATGTTTCTTTCCCCTGCAAAGCAGGGAGAAAAAAACAGCCAGATAGAAAAGTAAAAACAGCACACATCACACACATTATATTTATTAAGCACATATTTAACACCTTGATTGCCCCTAGATCAGGGCTCAAAATTTCAAGTCCTGAGTTACTACCAAGGACTTAATAGTTACTCGCCACCAGTTGCCCCACCAAACCACAAACCTGCCCCATCCCTAATTCCACCCCTAAAGATGCCTTCATAAATTATCTCATTAAATGGCACTGTTAAATGTTTTATGCAGTATGAAGGAAAAGAAGTGAAGGAATGAGGAAAGGAAATTGAAGGAAGGGAGGGGTGGAAGGAAGGAAGGGAGAAAGGGAGGGAGGGAGGGAGGGGTGGAAGAAAGGGAGAAAGGGGTGGAAGGAAGGAAGGAAGGAAGGAAGGAAGGAAGGGATGGGTTGGTGTAAGGAAGGAAGGGAGGGTTGGAAGGAAGGATCAGAGGGAAGAGAGGGGTGGGTGGAAGGAAGGAATGAAGGAAGGGAGGGGTGGAAGGAAGGGGTGGATGTAAGGAAGGGAGGGGTTGGTGTAAGGGAGGGGTGCAAGGAAAGATCAGAGGGAAGGGAGGGGTGGAGGGAAGGGAGGGAGGGGTGGGAAGGAAGGAAGGAAGGATGGGAGGAGTGGAAGGGAGGGAGGAAAGGAAGAAAGGGAGGGAAGGAAGAGAAGGAAGGGCGGGGTGGGTGAAAGGAAGGAACAAAGGAAGGGAAGGCTGGAAGGAATGAAAGTAGAGGTGGAAGGGAGGGGTGGAAAGAAGGAAAGGAGGTGGAAGGAAGGAAGGGAGGGTGGAAGGAAGGGAGGAGTGAAAGGAAGGAAGAGGTGGAAAGAAGGAGTGGGTGTTAGGAGGGAAGGGAGGCGTGCAAAGAAGGATCGGAGGGAAGGGGGGGTGGGTGGAAGGAAGGAAGGAAGGAAGGAAGGGTAGGTAGAAGGAAGGAAGGGGTGGGTGGGTGTAAGGGAGGGGTAGAAGGAAGGATCAGAGGGAAGGGATGGGTGGGTGGAAGGAAGGAATGGTAGGTAGAAGGAAGGAAGGGGTGGGTGAGTGGAAGGAAGGGAGGGAGGGGTGGAAGGAAGGATCGGAGGGAAGGAAGGGGTGGGTGGAAGGAAGGGGTTGGTGGAAGGAAGGAAGGAAGGAAGGAAGGAAGGAAGGGTAAAAGAAAGGGAGGGGTGGAAGGAAGAAAGGAAGGGGTGGGTGGGAAGTAAGGGGTGGAAGGAAGGAAGGGTGGGTGGAAGGAGGGAAGTAATGGGTGGAAGGAAGGAAGAAAGGGCTTGGAGGAAGGAAGGAAGGAAGGGGGGAGGAAGGAAGGAAGGAAGGAAGGGGAGGAAGGAAGGGGGGTGGGTGGAAGGCGGGAAAGGAGGGGTGGAAGGAATGAAGGGTTGGGGTTGGAAGGAAGGAAGGAAGGAAGGAAGGAAGGAAGGAAGGAAGGAAGGAAGGAAGGAAGGAAGGAAAGAAGAGGTGGGTGGAAGAAAGAGAGGGGTGGAAGGAAGGAAGGAAAGGGCTGGTGGAAGGAAGGAAGGAAGGGAAGGGTAGGTGGAGGGAAGGGTGGATGAAAGGAAGGGAGGGTGGAAGGATGGAAGGGAGGGTGGGTGGAAGAAAGGAAGGGGTGGGTGGAAGGAAGGAAGGAAGGAAGGGATGGGTGTAAGAAAAGAAGGAAGATCGGTCAGACTCACATGCTCATTTAGAAGCATCAGAGCTGTTGGCTGCTCTGTGTTCAATTTCCTGCCTACGCATCCTCTGAAGCTGCATGGACTGGAGTGTGTGGGCGGTCACAGGGGGAGGCACAGCAGATCCAGCCTCTCTTTCCTTCTCCTCCCTCCTTCTTCAATGAAGCAGCTGAAAGCCACGGGAGGGAGAGGAGGAGAATTGGCTTCCAGCTATTTTATTGAAAGCCATACAGGAGATTGCTGCTTGTCACTGCTGTACAGATCATACCTGATTGTTCCATTTCTTTCCTGGCCCTCCTGTGTGCTCCTCAGTGCCCAGTCTCCTATAGGTGTGGTGGATAGGGGGAGGAGCTGGTGGAGGCCAGGAAAGAAACGGAAGGATGAGGTATGATCTGTGCAGCGGTGACAAGCAGTGACCTCCTGTATGGCTTTCAGTGAAGCAGTTGGAAGCCACATCTCCCCCTTTCCCTCCCTCCCTCTCCCTCCTGTGGCTTTCAGCTGCTTCATTGAAAGCCATACAGGAGATTGCTGCTTGTCACCGCCCCCACTGCCACCCCTCCCACACACCCGTAATCCAATGCGAGCGCTGAGGGCTGCCCTAGATGTTAACCCCTTCCCAGACAGTGTCATTAGTACAGTGTCAATGTACTGTATTATCACTAATCACTGTGTTAGTGTCACTAGCAATGTCAGTGTCAGTTAACAATGTTCCCAGATAGTGTCTCACAGTCACACTATAAGTCGCTGATCACCACCATTACAGTATAACGTCTGTAGCTGCGTAAATTCCAGTATATATACCATAGTCTGTAGCAGGGGCGGACTGACAACTCATGGGGCCCCCGGCCAATAGGGGATCATGGGGCCCCTGTGTCCTTGCCCAAACTCAAAAAAAGCCTATGAAAAAGGTACCAGGGGCATCTCATGGTGCCCTCTACTGACCCCGGGCCCTCAGGCATTGCCCGAGTTTCCAAATGGTCAGTCCACCCCTGGTCTGTAGACACTATAACTTTCGCACAAACCAATACACGTATTGGGATTTTTTTTTACCAAAGACATGTAGCAGAATACATTTTGGCCTAAATTTATGAAGATATTGGATTTTTTTTGGTTATTTTTTACAACAGAAAATAGAAAATATTTTTTTTGTTTATATCGCAAAACATTAAAATCCCAGTGATCAAATACCACCAAAAGAAAGCTCTATTTGTGTGACAACAATTATATAACTTTCATTTCCGTACAGTGTTGCATGACAGCACAATTACCAGTTAAAGTAGTGCAGTGTCATGTCACTGTGGTCATGAAGGGGTTAAAACCTTCCAAGTGGTTAACAATTGTTCAAACATTTACTCAGGTAATCACATCACAGTGGTAAGGTGCAATGCTTCAGGATGACACAGGGCCCCTTTGTCAGACATGCCTTGTGAAGGGGTCCTGTGTGGCCCTGAAACGTTGCACCTTACCTCTGTGATGTGATTACCCAAATAAATGTTTGGATATTATCTTAAAGTAGAATTCTGACTATACACCTAACTAGCATTAACTGCTTACCACCCACCTGCAATGTACTGCAGACGGGCGGAAGCTACAGGCAAAGCGACGGATGAATACGTCGCTCTGGCTATACTAACACAGGGGGATGCTGCGCATACAACTAGGTGTGCAGCGCTCCCCACCCACGACTGGTGGACACAGTGGAATAAAGATCACTATGCAATCACATGATCACAATGTTAGCAAAGCTGTTATGAATCAGTCTGATTCATAACAGTTCTGCTTATCTTCCTGGTGAGCTGTGATTGGTCCACATCTCCCACATGATACAAGGGACCATTCATAGCACCCTGTACCATGTGACCAGCTCTAGCCAATCACAGATGACTAGTATCTTGAACTGTCATGAACCTAACTCATTCATGACAGTTCAAAGCAAGCTTTGCATTGCAGAGCAATAATCTTTATTTCCTCCTGCAAAGTGAAGTGTAAAAAAATAAAAATCCCTGATCACCCCCCCCCCCCAGAGTAGTACAATATTACTATGGTAACATTGTACTACTTTGATAAAAGTATTAAAAAAAAATGTAAAAACAAGATAAAAAAAACTGTATTGAGAATTTTTTTCTAACTATTTGCCGACCGCCTACCCGCAATGTGGCTCTGGGAAAAGTGTCGTAACCTTATGTCGCTTTCTATTTCAGATTGTGTGCCCCCCACTGCCTCCTTGTTGGTCCAGAGAGATGAGAGAGAACGCCGCACTGTGAGTAAAAGCCCTACATTTTACACACACAAGTTAGATTAGCACATTTAACCCTTTGATTGCCCCTATTAACCCTTTCATCACCCTGTCACCCAGCCAGTGCCATTAGTACAGTGTCAGTATATAGAATCTTTCACTAATCACTGTATTACTGCCACTAGCAATATGAGATGTCATGGTCAGTAAGCTCCCCTCCCAGCCAGGGTGAGCTAGCGTTAGATTGCCCGCACACTATCGCACTCACGCTATAGGTCGCAGATCACCGTCATTACTAGCATAGTGTTTGTACAGGTCAATATATTGACATATTGATCACAAACAGAACTATACTAGTGCCTCCTTTATATAGTGTCCCCAAAAATTCGGTGTTAGTAGGATCACCCCGTTTGCTGCCAGCACTAGCGTTTAGCCACTCCGCTGGTTTTCACAGAAGATTTGTATCAATTGACTGTGGGCCAAAGCAATTTATGAGCACAGCAATACATTGCCGCCCACCGAAATTCAGCTCTCGCCAGACAATTTGCATGGAAATCTATCACAGTTTCTGAATTTAAAACTTTTTTGGGCCTAGTCTTTAACATGGGCATTACAAAAAAGAATGAACTGCGGTCATGTTGGTCCACAGACCCGATTCATCATATGTCCATGCAGGGGCATATTTACCACAAGGCAAACAAGGCATTTGCCTAGGGCAGAATTTTTTAGGGGGCCAGCACTGCCCCCTGGAAGAAGGGACATATGCGGCATTGGGACCAGGTGGGATCTGAGAGAGACTGCAGGCTGCTTGATGATGTATGCAGAGCCGGATTGTCATTCATGGGGGTGTCCAGAGCTGTGAAGGTGAGTGTCTCTCTCTTTCGCTGGGGGGGGGGGTGTCAGTGGAAGGCTCTCTCTGGTGTGGGTGGGGATGGGGCAAGGGTGTTGTGGGTCGCTGTCAGGCTCTCTCTGTGGATGGGGTTGGGGGGGGCTAGTGTTGGTTGGTGTCAGGCTCTCTCCATCGGGGAGGGGCATCCAATGTTACCTAGGGCAGCACAAAACCTAAGTACACCACTGTGCCCATGTTCTCTGCTGGTACATACAGTGCCTTGAGAAAGTATTCATACCCCTTGAAATTTTCCACATTTTGTCATGTTACAACCAAAAATGATAATGTATTGTATTGGGATTTGATGTGATAGACCAAAACAAAGTAACAAACAAGAGATCCCTGTGCTCAAATCCATACAGCTAGTGCATGCATTTATCCATCAGGTGCTAAAGGGGTGTAACCACATTAACTCTAGAAATTCTGAAGGACCCTCTGCACACTGGTATATACCCTTTCAAGCAAACTTGTTGGGTCAGTAGCCAGACCTGACCCTTGTAGCTCTCCCCATTGTGTCTTTTCCCCTATGCTAGCATTGTGTCCACAGTAGCACTTGCGTAGGCAGAGAAGAGTAGGACTGGCCATAGAGGGATGACTTTGACACAGTTGGCCAGCTTAAGCGTGTATTGCAATATGTGTGAACTAAATATCCCTATTTATTGCATAGTCTGCTTGAAAGGGTATATACCAGTGTATCACAACAATAAAGCAAAAGCAAGCCACCAAAAATGACACTGATTGTTAGTGTCATAAGCACCTCTCCGACTCACTTGTACAAGTGTGGATACATAAACCCAGGGGACAGCATACTAAACAATATGATAGTGTGACAAGAACACACCTATCTGAAAAAAGAAGGTTTCTAAAAGATCCACGCGGAGTAGTATGAATTCAAATGAATTTAACAATACTTTATTTGATCACATAGATCATGGGGAGGTTAAACATGAGCACGGTGTACATATGAAAAAAATAAAATCATGTTTAAAAACACTTAGCGTCTTCAATTAAGGGTCATCTTAGCCAACAGAGCATCATATAAGGCAGAGTAGTGTAATGATGGAGTAGTTATCCTGGATTTCCGTAGGTTTCCTGCTTAATATTTGTGTGAACCGTATATTCAGTGGGTGTGTTCCCAGTATATATCAGGGACCTCCTGGAATGTACAAGCTGGAACACAAAAATACATGGTATGTATCTAGCAATATGGAAACCAAATCACATCCAAAATTTACCAGGCCTCCCTCCACAGTAGTCAATAGATGCTGCTGTTACCTTCTCAGAGGTGAGACTATCATACCCGCCTCTCAAATGTAAGGACTTCCTGGATAGCCACCCCAAATGGAACAAGGTCCACAGTACCAAATGATTCATCAATGAGGATCAAGAAGACTCCTGTCGACTTGAACTAAGATCAGGTCCTTGATGCTTTTCCAAAAATGCATATGGGGGTGAGGGACCAGGTATACACGATGCGTGGATTTCAAACACATATAGTGTGTATATAGCGTATAGCAGGCCGTAGATACCTGAATTCAATATACCCAGTAAAGGTTTCCAAAAATTGCTCAATTTGAGAAGGTTATTTGCGGTTTTATAAGGATGTGGCTATGTCACAGCAAAAAAATACCTGAATAGGATAGCGTATGTATATATATATATATATGTAAATTCTCCTCCTTAGAGGATTTTCCAAAAAATTCCCCGAGTATACAGGGTAAATTAGGCCCATACAGCATGCCCTATGAACACCATGTAGGCTCTGTAAATCTCAACAGCCGTAAGCTTTTAAATAACTTGCCACCGGTGGAAGATATATTTCCCTGAGGGATTGCCGTTTGCGAACCGCTGTGATAATAGCCCACTGGTAGTTCTCAAGGGGTCTTGGGCCTACCTAGCAGGGAGCTGTGACACCGCCGTTCCTTCCCGCCTCGTGGGCGCCGCACCCTGTGAAGACGCCGAGCGTAGTGACGTCAATACGTTGACGCGTTTCGTCCGCCAATCACCGCAGACTTCGTCAGAACTGGGAGGGGACTTCAATCCTTTGCCTTATATGGTGCACTAATTGCATACCAAAGAGTCTCCACCTCGCCATCTTGTGTTGAAAGAATATCACTACATTGGGAATATCCAAAAGTGAATTAAAACATATATCCTGAATTTTAAAATGATTGCTGGATGTGGAAGAGGAGCCTATACTATAGACCAAATCATCTTCCAAGAGAATGATAGACGGGAGATCATTATTAGCATATTTCACTTTCACATAGGGAAACATCAAGACCAAGTACAGCTACCAAGATTTCAAAAACAGTCCTATTGTTCTATATGCTCACCACAATTAGAGTAGAAAGAATCGAACAATTAGGTTCATATTTTGTCCACAGAGGCCCATATTTAGTGCATATATAGGGTATCGCAATGTAGATTATAACTCATGATATATGGAGAGTTCAAGGGAATTTATTTCAAAAACACCCCAAAGTTAAGTTCTGTGTTTAGTCCAGATGGGACAAGTGCTCCTAAGGTATAGATCCAGAATTTTTCTTTTTGTAGGAGGACTTTATCAAAATCACCCCGACGAGCCGAAATATTCAGCAGAAAGATCCCTTTTACTTTTAGACCATCTGTTTTGCCCCCGTGTACTTCTTTAAAGTGTTGCGCCAATGGGTTCAATTTTTCTCCCTTTCCTACATTCTTATTTTCATTTCTAATGTCTCTCAGATGTTCACCGATCCTAGTCCTAAGGCTTCTTTTGGTTTTTCCTATATAAATCTTTTTACATGGGCATTCTATCATGTATATCATTTTACTACTAGAATAGTTAATGAAGCTTCGTATTTGAAATATCCTAGAGTTATCATTGTTGAAGAACTGATTA